CACTCATTCTGTGTTCTTGTTGATATTCTGTGGCGTGGCTACAGATTGGAATGCTACTTGAACAGTCTTAAACCTTCCCTGTGTAAATAAGTTATCTTTGTATTTACTCTTAGGGAGGTAGCTTTTGTCCACCTTTAAATGGAAAAATAAAATACCTTAAAGAAAACCTTTTAAGTATGCTTGTGTAAGCACAGAAGTTTTTAAGAGGCATGAAAGGAAAAACAGACCTATTAAAAACTACATTAATATTCTTGAGAAACAGGAAGACAGGTAATTAATCTTGATCATTTCACTGCTGTTAGTGCCAAACCAATGTTTTTCATATTAACAGGACTGAACAAATGTGAAATAAAGCTTTGCAGCATTGATTCTAAACTATTCATATCATTATCATGCATACAACGCTGGCTGGAGCTTATTTATTCATTTCATTTTGATTTTGTTGCCAACCACTGCTTCAAATTGAATATTCTGCATACGATTTAAAAATGCTGAGGCGCGTTCAGGAAGAAACCTGTACAAAAAAGAAAAAAAAAATTGAAAAATTTTCAGTTTAAAATATTTGACAACAGAGTTCTTTTTTTGGTCATTTAGAATACACTGAGAGTTATCTGGTTTGTGTTTAATTTTCCTCCGTTCTTCTTTACTTCCTTTGCAATCACCTCTCTTTTATGTGTGCATCTTTCTTTTCTTTTCTTTTTTTTTTTTTTTGACATAACTTCATAGTGGACTTCATTAGGAAAAGTGTAAAAACATTCAAATTCATAAAATTTAAATGAGACAGTAAAATTATACCTTGTGGCTACAGTAATTGCCATAATAATCACAAGCAAGGTGAAGTCTAAATTATTGCCTAAACACGGAGGTTGCAGTGAGCCAAGATCATGCCATTGCACTCCAGCTGGGCGACAAGAATGAAACTCTATCTCAAAAAAAGTAAAAAATAAAAAAATAAATTATTGCCTAAACAAACACTATTTTGTCAACCTTCTGCTGCAAGCCCAAGGCAGAAAACATTACAATTATTAGAAGTCAGCCCAATTATGAATCTGCATTTGAAGATGGAAGAAAAGGAAAAAAAGTGTGTTCTGATTACAGCATCAAGACATTCTAGCCTGCAAAAAAGTAACTTTATTAACGTCTTGCAGCAGAATACATTAGTAATTGTAACCATGCATTAAAATTCTCATTTCATATCAAAAAGAGAGTAATCAGTTTTCTTCATGATTTATGTTTTACTGAATTTCATATGGTTTGTCCCTCTGAAAATGTTTTTGGGAACATTCCCTCTCCAGGGAGTGCCTCCTAAGATATGCTCACCACAGGTCATCTTTGGTCATTTAAAATCAATCTGTCTGAACCTATATGTGCACCTTTGTAATATTCATAGTTCAAATTGTATGCAAATATAAATAAAGCACTGATACATACCGCTCTTCTCACTCTCTTATCTGGTATGAGTAAAGATCTAAAATGAAAGTCTGAGCTCATTGCTGAAATTGCTGATTAATCTTGATCCTAAAATCTCACCAAGAGACACCACCAGAATCCATTCCATCCAAGCGTTCACCTCTCCTTTACTATTTACTGAGTACCTATTACGCACTCTATAATAAGGTGAACTAAAGTACTTAAAAAACAGCTGTTGTCTTTGAGGAACTTATTGTTTAGCTGAAAGGCTAAAATGGTCATCTTAAAACAATTATTGAAAAATATCAGCCATCTAGAATTAAGGGCTATAACTGGAAGGAGGATTCACATGGGCTCGGATAGTGGAGGAAAGCTTCAAAAGGACAACTGATGTCCAGGAATGCATAAGAGATGAGTAGGCAGATGAAAGGAAGAGAGTGGCCTGCCCAGTGGCTCACGTCTGTAACCCAGCACTTTGGGAGGCAGAGGTGGCCAGATCATGAGGTCAGGAGTTCGAGACCAGCTTGACCAACATTGTGAAACCCTGTCTCTACTAAAACTACAAAAAAATTAGCCAGGCGTGGTGGCGCATGCCTGTAATCCCAGCTATTCAGGAGGCTGAGGCAGGAGAATCTCTTGAACCCAGGAGGCGGAGGTTGCAGTGAGCCAAGATCAAGCCACTGCACTCCAGCCTGGGCAACAGAGCAAGACTCCATCTGAAAAAAAGGGGGGGAAAAAAAAGAAAAAAAAAAAAGGAAGAGAGTATGTGAATGTAAAGAGGCAGAAATGACATATTCTGCAAAGAAAGTCATATTGAAAATCACTTTGGTATTGTTGACTAATGCAAGATTTACTTCCTCATTTGGGGGGTAGGTGGGTGAAAGATGGGGGAAGGAGCAAACAGGCAGGGAAGATCTGGCTGAAAGAAGGACAAGGATAAGAAGAGAGCTCATGTGGGCCTTTTACCATCACAAAGAAACCTTCATGCTAGTAATTGCATCTGCTCATAAAATGTTGTCTCTCTGTATAAGGAATTAAATGCAAAGAAAATTAACAATACATACCTGTTGCCTAGTTACAAACCACCATGACAGCTTCAAAGGATACAAAAGACTTTGAGACTGTTGTTTATTTTACTGGGATACTATTCTCCAACTCAGGCAGAATAATTGTTTTTATCTCCTTGGTCATATGCATGTATATGCATGTACATATGCATGTAATTTTCAATATTAATATGACTTGCTTTAGGCCCCAAGAGAGTAGGTGTTCCATGAAACTCACTTCCTACAGTGCTTAGTACCAAGACACTAATTTAGTCAACTCTTTTTTTTTTTTCATTGTTTTTTAAATTTATTTTTCCAAGACAGAGTCTTCTGTCGCCCAGGCTGGAGTGCAGTGGCACGATCTCGGCTCACTTCAACCTCTGCCTCCCGGATTCAAGCAATTCTCCTGCGAGTGCCTGGTATTACAGGCACAGGCCACCATACCTACTAATTTTTGTATTTTTAGTAGAGCTGGGGTTTCACCATGTTGGTCAGGCTGGTCTCGAACTCCTGACTTCAAGTATTCTGCCTGCTGTGGTCTCCCAAAGTGCTGGGATTACAGGTATGAGACACCACACCCAGCCTAGTCAACTCTTGAGATGATGTTGCTTGGGGGTCAAGGTTCTCCTTATGTTATCTCAAGTCAGTCTATTTAAGCTAAAACAAAATACTGAAATTGATACATCAATGCAGTTTGTACCCTGTTCTCAAATTGTTCTATTTCAAGTTTGTTCATAATTTATATGGACTTGTTTCAAAAAGGTCCAAGGGCTTATGAAGTTAGTATAGTTATCTTCTCACTGATACAATTTCAATTTATAAACTGCTCCTCAGAAGAAAGCTGAGAGGGTGTATCCTCTGGGAATTGTTGCTGTTGCTATTTCATATAAATTCTGTTCTCTAAGATTTTAACATTTGAAGTCTACACCTTTTCAGTGACAAGAGCTTTGTTTCTATTATATTGTTTTATTCTTATGGCATCCTTATAAAGAAGATATCACCATATTCATTTGGCCAGGTGCAGTGGCTCATGCCTGTAATCTCAGCACTTTGGGAGGCCAAGGAAGGAGGATTGCTTGAGGCCAGGCATTCAAAACCTTTGTTGCCTGGGCAACAAAGCGAGACTGTCTCTACTAAATAAATACATAGGCTGGGTGCGGTGGGTCACACCTGTAATCCCCACACTTTGGGAGGCCGAGGCAGGCAGATCACGAGGTCAGGAGATCGAGACCATCCCGGCTAATGGGGTGAAACCCCGTCTCTACTAAAAAAATTTAAAAAAATAAAAATTAGCTGGGCATGGTGGCAGGTGCCTGTAGTCCCAGCTACTCGGGAGGCTGAGGCAGGAGGATGGCGTGAATCCGGGAGGCAGAGATTGCAGTGAGCCGAGATCTTGCCACTGCACTCCAGTCTGGGCAACAGAGCAAGACTCCATCTCAAAAAATAAATAAATAAATAAAAATAATAAATAAATAAATAAATAAACAAGACATTCTAAAGACATTAAAAGGATAATAAGGGAATGTTATGTACAAATTTATGCCAAAGAAATTCTACAACTTAGATGAAATGGACAAATTCCTTGAAAGACACACATTACCAAGAATTAATAAGTAAATTGAATTGCCATGTAGCTATTAAAGAAATTAAATTTGTAATTAAAAGCTTTCCCAAAAGAAAATTAGAGACTCAGGAATCTACCAAAAAAAAACCAGAAAACAAAAAACTTACTGAGTTTAGCAAACAAAAAGTTTAGCAATTTAGCAAGGTTGCAAAATATGAGATCAAATTACAAAAATCCAATATATACTGACAACAAACAATGGTAAATATAAATTTTTTTAAAAATGCCATTTGCATTAGCATCAAAAACCGTGAAATAGGGCTGGGCATGATGGCTCATGCCTGTAGTTCCAGCAGTTTGGGAGGCTGAGGCAGGTGGACCACATGAGGTCAGGAGTTCGAGATCAGCCTGGTCAACATGGTGAAACCCCATCTCTACTACAAATTCAAAAAATCAGTTGGGCGAGGGGACAGGTGCCTGTAATCCCAGCTACTTGGGAGGCTGAGGCAGGAGAATCGCTTGAAGCCAGGCGTCCTAAGTTGCAGTGAGCCGAGATCACACCACTGCACTCCAGCTTGGGCAACAAGGGCGAAACTCTGTCTCAAAAAAAAAAAAAAAAAAAGAACTCGTGAAATACTTTGGAATAAATCTGATAAAATATGTGCAAGACTTAAACATCAAAAACTACAAAATACAATTTAAAGATTTAAAGATTTTGAAGAAGATTTAAAAAATAGATATTATGTTCTTGGATTCAAAAACTCAATATTGTTGATATGTCAATTCTCCCCAATTGATCTATAGATTCAGTGCAATCCCAACCAAACTTCTAGCAGGCTTTTAAAAATGGAGTCTTTATTATTAACTACTTCACTATATTGCATTCTTTTAAAACTGTGTTTCCTTTAGTTAGAATAGTCTTCAGCAAAGTTTGCACAGAGACAGTAGATTTGGTAGAGAAAATGAATCATTCTCTTTTTATAGACTGGGTAGGAAAAGAACAGAGGAAACTTAACTGTTCTCCCCAAGGATGGAGAGTTTCCATGCCAATTTTCACAACTGAAAGATTCTCCATAATAATAGCTCTACTGGGCCAGGCACGGTGGCTCATGCCTGTAATCCCAGCACTTTGGGAGGCCAAGACAGGAGGATAACTTGAGGTCAGGAGTTCAAGCCCAGCCTGGCCAGCATGGGGAAACCCCACCTCTATCAAAAAATACAAAAATTAGCTGGGTGTGGTGTGGTAGCACACACCTGTAGTCCCAGTTACATAGGGATCTGAGGCACGAGAATTGCTTGAACCCAGGAGGTGGAGGTTGCAGTGAGCCAAGATCGTGCCACTGCAATCCAGTCAGGGTGACAGAGTAAGACTCTGTCTCCAAAAAAAAAAAAAAAAAAGCTCTATTGGTGTTTCAGTATTTAGGTGTTCTGTGCTGTACTTACTTCTTTAGTATCAGAAAGATATTGATATATGATGGAACAAAAATCATTTTCTTATTGGTAAGTATTCCATCTATCAGACTTCTTACAACTTCATCTGTCTCCAATACAGGCCATAATCTGTGATTTAAAAGAGGAAAAGTTTATTTTTATTTTCTAAAGTTTTAATTTCATAAGTAAATGATGGTAGGAAAATTATCCTGTATTTTTACTAAATCTAGAATGAAGATTTAAAATATTCCAGGATTTGCTGCATTAATGCCACCCTACCCACTTCCTCCACATCCCATGTTGATGTTTTGTTATCAGAAACTTATACTTTCATATCCAGTAGGTGTGTTTCATAGCTCACTTAGTCAAAATATCAAAATGGTGGAGAGGCATTAGATGGTAAGGAGTAGAGGAGCCATGCAAGAAAGAGGAACGGCTAGGATTAATCATGGGACAGGAAGGAAAGATCTGACATCTCAAAGCCTGTTGGATGCAAGGAGAAAATTCTATAGCTAAGTATACTTTCTTTCTTGTGGAGGTATTCCATAAAGCTGGATTGTTTTGAGGTCATCATTTTGTCAGAGGTGTTTAAATCAGAGCAACTCCATCTTGAATAGGGCCTGGGTAAAAGAAGGCTGACACCTACTGGGCTTCATTCCCAGGAAGCTAAAGCATTCTTTGTCACAGGATGATAAAGGAGGTTGGCACAAGATTCAGGTCATAAAGATGTTGCTGATAAAATAGGGTGCAGTAAAGAAGCCGGCCAAAACCCACCAAAACCAAGATGGTGATGAAAGTGACCTCTGGTTGTCCTCACTGCTCATTATAAGCTGACTATAATATATTAATTAGCATGCTAAGAGACACTTCTATCAGCACTATGACAGTTTACAAATACCATGGCAATGGCAGGAAGTTACCCAATATGGTCTAAAAACAGGAGGAAATCTCAGTTTTGGGAATTGCTCACCCCTTTCCCGGAAAACTCATGAATAATCCACCCCTTGTTTAGCATATAATCAAGAAGTAACTAAATATCCTTGGTGGAGCAGCCCCAGCCATTCTTCTCGGTGGAGTAGCCATTCTCCTTCGTGGAGTAGCCATTCTCTACTCCTTTACTTTCCTAATAAGCTTGCTTTTGCTTTGCACTGTGGCCTTGCCCCAAATTGTTTCTTGGGAAAAATCTAAGACCCCTCTCTTGGGGTCTGGATTGGGAGCCCTTTCTGGTAAGAATTTCATATTTGAGATTCACCTCTGACTTGCCTATCCTGCAGTTTAATGAGAATTTAAGAGGCGCCCAAGGAGTATGACAACTGGAGGTATGACCTTCCTTATACTGAAGGCCGTGTACATGTATTCTTGAGAAATATTCATAAACATAGGCTTAGTGAACAATTGCCTGTTAGTGCAAGATGATGACAGAAAATTAAAACATAAATGGATTTAAAATGTTGTATTCAAATTAAGATGTCTAGGCATGGACTGAACAGCCAGTGAATGTAAAGGCTGGGCGAGGAGTTAGGAAACCAGTGAATGTTAAAACTCCATTCCCTGGGATGATCTGTGGTTTACTGCAGATTAGTATGTGATTCACTTCTCCACTGCATTGAACAGCAACGCCAACAGAGAGTAATACAAGTCAATACATTTCTAAATTACTCTGTTCTGCCCTTTCCCTCCCTGATGTCATCTATATGGATCCAACAACCCAGCCTCAGAGCCATGTGTGACATTACATATCAATGCCTTAGCCCTGACTAAGGAAATTCACAATCCAGCAACCTCTATAAAACCAATCCCAAATCTTTAGCATTGCCTGTGTCTGCCCCTAAGTTAGCCCCCAGGAACCCTATACCCAGAGTTCCATCATCTTTACTTTTCTCATCTATTATGCCTTCCCCAAGAGTGGCAGGATACCCTTAGGAAAGCTCATGGTACGCTAAGCACGAAAGCCTACCAAGAGGGTTTTTATTGGGCCCAATTCCTTGTCTAAGAAAACAGTCAGGAGTTGCAACAGTACTATAGTATTTACTTGCATATCGCATACTTATTAAGTACTGTGAGACAACATAGCAAATGTAGGAAGCCATGTTTGCTCACTTCTTTCAGCATAATTTCACAAAGTCCCTGACTCTGTGACAATGTGGAGCTCTCTGGAAAGATGCTTTGAAGACAACACAGGATGGAGCACATGGCCCCCAGTACCAGAGCAGTCCAACTGAACCTCTCTAAAGGGCTGCTCTCAGGCTACAGGCCTCCTTCTGTAGTCTTCAGTAAGGCTTCTAAATAAAATCAACACCTTTAATTCTTTAAAAACTTATTTTTTTGGCCGGTTGTGGTGGTTCACGCCTGTAATCCCAGCATTTTAGGAGGCCGAGGCAGGCAGATCACCTGAGGTCAGGAGTTCGAGACCAGCCTGGCCAACATGGCGAAACTCCGTCTCTACTAAAAATACAAAAATTAGCCAGGTGTGGTGGTGGGTGCCTGTAATCCCAAATACTCAGGAGGCTGAGGAAGGAGAATCGCTTGAACCCGGAAGGCAGAGGTTGCGGTGAGCCGAGATTGAACCACTGCACTCCTGCCTGGATGACAGAGTGAGACTCTGTCTCAAAAAAAAAACAAAAACAAAAACTTATTTATTTTTCTTTAATCAACAGTACCTATGGTCTAACACCATGAAGGACTCCAGTGGCAGGGAGACACTCCAGCTGCAGAGACCACACAGCTAACTCAGGCTGTAAGAGTCAGTATCCTCAAATGAGGCGGCACTCAACAGAGAATTGTTTAGTTCATTTGAATGAATATGTTTAGGACTAATTCCCTTCCAGTAAAAAATTGGTTTTGAATCATTAAGCTTAGTATATTTTGTTAATCTGCAGCAGAATATATACCAGAATTAGAAAAATTTGTTCAGCAGATGGCTTAATTTTCAGGCCTTATCCACACCTTCCTGCTTTTTTCTTCTCCTTTCAGGACTACTTTTTCCTCTCTTATGGTCTCAAATCCTCTCTCACCAGAGACAAGAGTTCTTGCAGAAATTCACCTTGACTAAGGAGCTAGAGACTCAATTTATTTGCTGGTCCTTGGAACATTTGCATTTTAAAGACAGGGTGGTAACAGTGATCAAATGTATATAGAGATTGTGTGCGTGTGTGTGTGTGTGTGTGTGTGTGTGTGTGTGTGTATTTAGAGACAGAGGTCTCACTGTGTTGCCCAGGTTGGAGTTCAATGGCTATTCACAGGTGCAATCATAGTGCACTACAGCCTTGAGCTCCTGCCTTCCTCTTGCCTTAGCTTCCCTGGTCTCTAGGACTGCAAGCTTGCCCTCTGATAATATTGAATATATCAAAGTTTTCCAAACCTGCCTCTATTCTCATCTGGTATGCTTGTAAGACAAAACAAAACAAAACTCCTAATTCTTGGAATTAATCCTAGTCTACTGGATCAGAATTTCCTTAGAAATTCCTAAGGACGAGCCTATGAACTTTATTTTTTAAGTAAGCACATGCAATAATTCTTAGGATGAGACAAGTTTGGAAAATGTTTGGGTGCCTTATGTTAACATTGTGGCCAGTGCTGTGGAAGACATAAAAGAGGCATAAGTACCCATACCTTTCCATGCTCTGTTTGAAGAGGATGAACCACTAATGGAAGGGGGGAATGTTAGGTATCATTGATTTTGTGGGTGTGGTGTCCAGGAGAGGAGACTCTGCCGTTCCCTTAAGCACACATCTCCAGCCCCCCTTGTCCCATTCCCACTTCTCACTTACTCTTGGCACCTGAGTGTGTGTTAAGCTTTTTCCCAGACACAAATAAATATCTCAGTTCATTGGTAGCTGATCATTCCTGCTAGTCCCTAATGTTTTTCCCCTTTATTCCTTTAATTCAAGATAATAATATTAATAAGAAAAAATAATTTTCCTGTTTCATTTTATTTCTATTAGTTGGCCTGCCTAAACATTTCTCATTAGTTTTCATATCAATTTATCATACCACAGTCTCATTCTAACTTGATTTTGACTTTACCTTGTGCTTGGATTTTTGGTGAACCCAGTATTCACAAAAACTGGGCAGAGACATGAGGTTTTGATACCAGTTTTTCCCAAAGCTTGAAGTTCTGATGTCAGACCTCTGTGAAAGCCAACAGCAGCAAATTTGCTGGAACTGTAAGAGAATTATTAAGCATTGTTAGCTAAGGGAGAGTGAAACCAATCCTCAGTTTTCTGTGAGAAGGTGGTATCATTTGACTTATGAACAAGTAGATCCTGGCTAACATGGTGAAACCCCGTCTCTGCTAAAAATACAAAAATAAATTAGCCAGGCATGGTGGCGGGCTCCTATAATCCCAGCTACTCGGGAGGCTGAGGCAGGAGAATGGCATGAACCCAGGAGGCAGAGCTTGCAGTGAGCCGAGATCGCGCCACTGCACTCCAGCCTGGGCGACAGAGCCAGACTCCATCTCAAAAAAAAAAAAAAAAAGAACAAGTAGAAGCCAAAAATCAGCCACTTGTGATTTTTCTGAGAGTATAAATGGCAATTCATTTTCATTTTTTTATACGATTAAGCAGAATTGTGAACGTATCTCATTTCTTAAACAACGATAGCAAAAGAACAAAAATAACTCTATTGATTGGCTTAATGTTCAGTTTTCCATCCTACATGTAAGGTTTTTCCATTGAATCTTCAAACTGTTTTCTAATCAGTTTTTATTGCTTTTATTTTGAAAAATATGAATCAGGAAAAACATATTTAGTAATTCTACAAAATTGATGTCTGTGTTGACAGACTTCTGTAGGACGCTGCTCATTTCTCCTTTCTCTCTCAATAACTGAGTTGATGGTTTTTCTCTTGATAATGGTTGCCACTTTGGCCTCTTGATTTTATTATGAGGATCTGGAGAAGAGTTTACAGGAAAGGATATTTGGCAAATACAGTAGTATATCCTTAGGGCCTCCCACCTCCTTCCCTTTAAGTCTTTGGTGGTGCGTGGAGTGTGGTATCTGCAACTTTTAGTCAGGTAGAGTTGTTTCTCTCTCTCTCTCTGTCTTTCTCTCTATCTTTCTCTCTCACACACGCACACACACACACGTTCATGACACAAGCACACTGTAAAATGTTTTGATCCAGGGACCACTCTGATTGTCTTATTTTGGGCACCAAGGCCATGACGTAGACATGTGTTCTTTTTAGCTTCTGTAGGTTTTGCTTCTTAGTCTGTGGAGGAAACAATGGAAACATGCTTGGCATTACTGTTTTCTCTCATTGTTCTACAGAAGAATTTGCAGAAATCTAAAAGTATTTTAAATATAATGACAACCCGGTTTCATTGCTTTAGAAAAAGTCATTTAAAAAATTCATTCTAAACCACTGTAAATTTATATCCTGTTAACCCAAATCACTCTGCTCCGAGCATTGCCATCTTGAGGCAGGAGAATAGGGTCTGGAGGCAGGGAACATAAGGCCGATTCATGCTGACTTCCTAGAACTAAATCAAATGGAAACACTTCAGCTATGACAGGAAATATCCTCTCCATTTACATGGGGTGTACACTGAGTAAATGACTTTGTAAATTTAATTCATCCTCTTCATTTACATAGGGTGTACACCGAGTAACCAGTGGAAGAAACCTCTAGAGGGTATTTAAACCCCAGAAAATTCTGTAAGGGGCTCTTGAGCCCCTGTGCTTGGGCCCACTCCCACCCTGTGAAGCATACTTTCATTTTCAGTAGATCTCTGCTTTTGTTGCTTCGTTCTTTCCTGGCATTTTGGTGTGTTTTGTCCAATTCTTTGTTCAAGATGCCAAGAACCAGGACACCCTCCACCGGTAACAATGTGAAGTGTAATGCTCCCTTCAAAGTGTAAAAATATATAACATGGCTGGCATGTGATACTTACCAATATGGGATGAGGTAAGGAATCACTTCGTGGCCACACACTGAAGCCACCGTGACGATGTGGCCATGATTTCTCTCTATCATCGATGGAAGAAGTGCTTTTGTGATCTTAAGGATCATTGTAGAAAGAAGAAAAACAATGACATAGGTGTTAGGTTTCCAAATCAGGTAGTTTTATTTTTGTTAAGACAGAAAGGCATTTGAGAGAACTTATAAACTGAAATAAAGTACTTTCAAGCATTCCATGATTAATTCTATACAAATGATAGAAATAAAGATACAAATTTATTGGTATGGTATACCCCATGCCAACACTAATCTCAGTATTCCCCATCTTTCCCTTCAGAAGGAATCAAATAGATCCTTTTTTGGATATGTCATCTAAACAATATTAAGGGAAAAATTCAGAGTTTTCAGAAGTAAAATAATTCTTTATGATAATTTAGTGTCATGTAATTTTTTGGTTTGGGGCTTTATCATTCTAATTAAAAGAGTGAAATCTTGTGTAACTGTATTAAGGCAGTTGAGTAGTGTAAGCTGAGTGTTCTACACCACACTTATGCATCATGATTGAATTCACTATCTCCTATTTGTAATATTGTATATTATATGTTGATGTTACAGGAAACAAGTCTTTCTTTTTTTCCAAAAACCTCTTTTGTGAGAAACATCGATAAAATTTTATAAGAATGTAGTAAATCCTATGCAAATTCATAGAACTAGAACTCCCAACCCAAGCTACCCCCAAATTCCCAACCCACAGAAACTGTGAGAGGATGGTGAACATATATTGTTGCTTTAAACCACTAAGTTTTGTATAATTTGTTATGCAGCTATAGGTAACTAATACATGAGGTCTCCATGTAGTTTGGTGGGCATGGGAGCCAATTCACATATGTGAGGAGCTGGTAAAGGTAAGGGGGACACATCTCTTTTTTTTTCTTCTTTCTTCTAGAATCCAGATTTGCCCTAGATTCTACACTAATATTGAGGCACTGGAAGATTAATCATAAAAATTTCTGTACAAAGGCAGCTGAAGTTGATATTTCCATCTTCCACAAAACTAACCAATTATATGAGGTCTGTGTAGCTGCATTTCTCAGTTCTAGCATCCCATGGATCTAGAACTTGCCTCAGAGTCTCATCCAAAAGTGTCCTTGACCCTATATACATCCACGTAATTACTTCTGATGTCCTTCCCATTCTAAAATTCCACAAAATGAGGACACATTACAAAATCATAGTGTGGAGGGAAAAAAATGAGGTCACAAGTGAGAGCATTGAAAAGATGTACACTGACAACCCTTAACAAACCTCCACAAACATTTGTTGAATTCTTGGTACATGCCAAGCTTTGTGTCAGATACTGGTGGACAAGACAGACCAAGTAGCTTACATTCTAGTGTGTTGTGTCCACTTGAATTCTGTGTCCTTGTGTCAGAGACTCTGTGGCTCTTCTACTCAAACAAATTTGATGATTCTTGATTAAGGCAAAGATCTGGCCAGTTTCCTGTCCAGAAGTATGTGAACTCCGTTATAAGTTTCATGTATCTTAAGAGAAGGTGCACAAATCTGAAAGGTTTCTGACTCACACTCACCCAAAAATGTCCTAGGATGTTGACCTCAAATGTTTTGGTAATCTCTTCATCCTTGGTGCTGCGAAGATCGGCTGGATATACTGTCCCAGCATTATTCACCACAATTGTCACATCACCCACTTCTTTCTTCACCTTTTGAAATTGAAAGAATGCATTCATTGGGTGTGTTATACAAACTCAAAGTTTTGGGACCAATATAATCCAGAGATTAGAGTCTTTCTTCTACTGTATGAGGTCTCTCAGAGTTCAGGCAAGATGGACTGTTGAGCTCAAATAGTGGAGGCCAGCGGAGCACTGTCATAAAGGTGGGATAAACTGTTCTTTTAACATCTAAATTTCAATACCCAGCACATCATGTTTTGCAAGTTTATCAGTAAAGTGAAATTAACATTTATGTTGATAAATTACTATATAAGTTCTGACCAAATATTTTTAATGTGCT